AATGTTTTATTTGAAGACCTCTTAATATTCTCAGAGTAACAAGCAAGAAGCAACTAGGATGTTTGTATCTGTGCTTTAGGGACTTTAGGTCATGAGAGAGAAACTAAGAATCATGGTAATTAAGAGTTAAAACATTTGGGCTGCAATATTTTCTGTCATTGAAAATCCTAATTCTAGTAAATATTATGATATTAGACACATTGACCAAGTTTCGAAATCTTACTTTTTTCCTACAAGTTTAGAAACCCTAAATATTTCAAGCACTTTTAATGAGCAGGCTTTCTTTAAAAGGGAAAGAAGGGGGTGGTAGAGGGGGAGAAGAAGGGAACGGAGGAAGGGAGGGGACCTGAAAGGAAGGAGCAAATGAAAGAAGAAAGAAAGGAAGACAAATAAGGCCAATTTTATATCATAGATCCATGAATAATAAGAATAGGAGATAAATTCACAGAGCAAGGGCAACATATAATCCCATTATTTCCCCCAATATAGAACTGTAATGCTTTTGAAGTCAAAACTGAAGGAATGATATATTCAAGAGCAAAGCCTCTCTCTGTTAAATATGTAAAGCATACGTTTTCCCAGAGCCATCAATGCCAGAATAACCCAGGAATTTACACCCTTTCTTTGATCAGTGAGGAATTATTGTAAGCATTATATCTGATCACTCTACAATATGAACGCATGTTCTTAAATGGATTGAGGCTCAACTTAGATTTATATCTCCAATTCCCTCCTGGATTTAGGGGGGCTAATTTCATAAGCACACTTCTGGGTGGTGCTAGAATGGAGCCAAAGAGAGAGACAAAGAGAGAGAGAATTGCTCATGAGATACTGTCAGTCTGGAGATTAGGATAGAGACAACAGTTAAAGTCATTTTATAGTCTGAAAAATATTGTAAAAACTATTTAAGTCTTCTCTGATTTCATATTAACCTCGATTTCTATTCATGGTGACCTTATAGGAAAGAGTCGAACTGCTTGGAAACTGGTGGTTTCCAAGGCTGCAAATCTTTATGAAATCAGAAAGTCTCATCCTTCCCCAACAGAACTGCTGTGGGATCAAACTACTGACCTTGTGGTTAGCAGCCCAACTGCTCTGACGTCATTTATTAAAAACAACAACTCAAATTCACTGCCACGGAGATGATTCCCACTCACAGTGACCCAGTGGGACAGAGTGGAACTGGCCCTGTGGGTTTCAAAGACTACCACTCTTCACAGCAGTAGAAAGGTTCTTCTGGCTCCTGCCGTGCTGCTGTGGATTCCAACTGCTGACCTTGCCGTTACCAGCCCCATGTGCAACCCACTATGCCACCAGTGCTTTCTGAGTCCATAGAGACATCATGTATCTTTTTCCCTCAGCAGCAGATTTATAATCTTACAAATAACACAATAACCCTATGTTTTGCATTGTTTTCAGGATGAAATGCAACATAGAGCATGCATTACTAAGTTCTTTCCCATTCTCATTGGCTCTTGTGTATCTGGATCACCTCGAGTAATTTTAGGGAGCGCAGGTTTCTAGAACCCCAGAACTTCTTACCCAGTATTTATGAAAAAGAGTGGAAATTGTGATTTTTTTTTAAACATTTTATTAGGGGCTCATACAACTGTTATCCCAATCCATACACACATCAATTGTGTAAAGTGCATTTGTACATCGTTTCTCAAAACATTTTCTCTCCATTTAAACCCCCGACATTAGGTCCTCATTTTTCCCCTCCCTCCCCGCTCCCCCCTCCCGCATGA